CACTCCCTTCACCGACATCTGAATATGACGTCATCTGTCGTCGCCGTTGAGCATAAGATCCGCAATTGCTTCCTGATGCTGATACATACACATCCTTCAATCGCTAAACCAACGAATAACTTTCTAGAGACACTGGCCCAGACTATGCAAACTCTTTACGAAGGGTGTTTTAGATAACGTCATAATACTCCACAATCCGTCGAGGACCTCGTTGAGCTCTAGGCGTGCACCATGCCCCGAGGGGTAAATTCTTCTGATTCTGTCGAGTAGAATATCATTATGAAGTTTCTGATCAACTAGTATGTGCCATTAAACTTTCAGGTGGAAGCATTTGGTTCGAGTTCAGGGAAATGGACTAGATTTCGTTTTGAAGGCAAGGTCCGGGATCGAACTTATGTATTTTTGAAGCGATATTGGAAGTGTGACGCCAACAATTGAAAAAATTGAGGAAATTGTCGACAAGGCCGATATACCCGTCTCTACTGTAACAGCATAGCAATTGTGGGTGTGTGGGCATGCTCAATATTATTGGGCAGGGCCCATGGGCTGCATCCCGGGGCACTAACGCCTCGGCTTCGTCACATCATCCCAAAGTTGTGTTCGCGCTTTACGCTGTACCGCTGCACATTTCTCGGGGAAAAACTTAATTCCGACAAAAATCCCGGATCTTGCCTTGAAATGTGAGGGACCCCCCTCCAACCTCAAATGTCAATGAAAATGTTGGACAAATTCGATCGTACTCTGAGATTACAACTTCAATATTTTTTGTAGGCATTTTAACTGTACAAAAGTAGACTTACTGTCTGTATTGACGACGCTGTGGATTCCATTAGTTATGAAAAATATGCAGAATATAAGCACAATCGGGAACAATAGCATCCGTAATGAGTAAAGGTTTTGGTCAAATAGGTCAACCGCAAATAGACGCCATGCTTCCAGTAACGCTCGAGTATCAGGTATCCTAGGCGCTATTTCTATCCATGCCATCAAGTTAATTACTTTCGTAGTAATATAAACACACTAACAATAACTAATTAGATTTAAGAACATTTTTAAAGAGAATAATTTACTTAGAGGCTAAAAAATCAACAAACGTATTAGTAGACATTGTACAATAGTTGGAAAGCTGGTGTAAAGCTAAGTGAGTCTGTAGTAAAAGAGCAATGTCATGTGAAAGCTGCAACACTCAAACAGTGAGTAATAAATAATAGTAACATTATTGAATAATAAGTACTTAAAAGGCCATAGTAATAAGGTAAGATATTGAGAACAAGTGAAGTTACATCAATAAAAATCATCCTTAATATTGATCGACAATTCAGGTACGCTCGCGACTGCCCGCGTCATAGAGCCCCACTGCGCTCACTGGAAGCATTCTAATGCGAACTTCAATTGCCTTAAAAGCCTAACATAGAGCCGTGACTTATTTGTGACCCGGAAGAAGCCGAGAAGAAAAGCACAATTGGAAAAGTATACGCACAGCGCAAATCTAATCGATAGAAATTGAAAAGCGAACTACAACACGGGCATTTTCAGAATTCTGGAACTACAAAAAAGTGAATAAATTTAAGACCGTTGAAAGAAAATATGCGACGTCAACAAAAATAAAATACACAGTAGCGGTCAAAAGTTTTCGCCAAACCGAGTTTTCGTGCTTCGCTTTTTTTCCCCAGAAAAAATCATTGGTGACCCCGGAAATTTTTTTTCTGAAGATTCCTGATTCTTTAAGGAGATTGAGCATATAAAAACAATAGAAAACATAGGCGAAATGTCAATCTTTTGGAAAACGCTACTCGAGCAGAATAAAAGAACTGTACTGAAATTCGTTCTGTCGCGAACACGTTTGGACCGTACCGTAGGTTCACGACAAATGTTTAGGCTGGACAAGAAGATGTTATTTCCTCTAAAGAAGGGATAGAACAAGACTCAACAATTAGGGGCAGTGTTTTTTCCTGTACAAGGAGTAGACGTTGTTGATGGTGGCGGTGAAGCGTTGACGACTTCAGATGGCACCACTTCGATATGGTTATCGTTGGCCAGCTTATGTTCTTCACAGTCGGGACTCGGACTCATCCAACAACAGCTGAAAAGAGCGCAGAACTCGTACAAGCAACTAGCACATGTGTTAAAAACAAGGTTACAGAAGCACTCTCAAGGCGAACGAAGAGAAGCATAAAACAAAGTTAAAGGCAGCGATTACTATGGCTGGAGGGCGGTGCGGTTTCAGTGACGTCACTGAGTGTCATTGCTGCACGGTTACAAGGCTTCTGTCAACCAAAGGGTGAGAGCGTAGCTGGAAAAGCACACACTTTGTGTCTTATTGGGACTAAGCCTTTTGAAGAAGATAAAGAAAGAGGAGATGCTGTGATAGTGTGCACTTGTGAGAGCTCCCAGACATCACTACAAAACGCTGAACCGCCAAGGCTCACGGTTGACAGATGTCCTGAGACCTTGCTGGACCAGATCTTTAACGCGCTATGGATAGGACTGCCTTTTACGTCCTGCCACCAATGAAGTTCCATGACGTCACCGTGACCGCACCGCTCCCCATCCATAGCGATCATTGCCTTCGAATGGAGTTTTAGGATGGTTAGGACTAACCCTTTGGCTAAATGATGAGTAGGTAATAAATATGTACCACATAAACAAAATCACTCTGTGGGGCTAGACATTTGGCAAAAAGGAAGCATAGGAAGGGTTAAAATTTGAAAAAAAATTCTAATGCATTTTTAACGAATCATTTAATCATTTCTAGTGACCCTAGTAGCAACATAAAGGTTAGTCATTCAATGAAATCACTCAAACGAAAAGATATTATGACGACTTCCAGGGGCATATCCAGAAAACAGCAGCGATTTTAGGCCCAGGAAAGCATAACCGAAATAGGAATTTGGGAAAAAATGTGAAAAAAAGGAATCAAAATTGTTACTGAAATTGCAGTTGGCAACAAAACTTAAAATCTGAGCTGTCGAAATTAATATATAATAAAAAATGAGCTAAAACTAAATAAGGAGCACAAACACACTCAGTGAATATTTATCAGTAACCGGTATTTGGATCAGATCTGTTACAACTAATGCTTGGGCAATGGGGAGTTGAGAGATGAAGTCTTGGAAGGACGAGGGTAATCAACAAATTCTGCGAAAACAATGAAACTGAATCAACCGAAGAATCGCAATCCATTGGACTCATTCCAAACCTATGGTTCTTGTTAAAACATTAATTTTATTTACAACGTTCTCGAAGAGGCCCGGCTTTCCTTCTGGTTGTGCAGCATCGCAAGCCCGTCTTCCATATGCCGGGTACCTGAAAATTGGAGCAAGAAAGTCAGTGTCAGGCCCCAGACCAGTAATAGCTCAAATGCTAATCAAGGAAGAATCGGCTATATCCTCTAACGCCAAAGAGACTACTACGATCAACTTTGCTCAGATCGCGCCGATGTATGCGCCTCCCCATCCAAGAAGCGGCAGTTGCGGCAAAAAAAGCAAAGGCCAGAAGTTTCTGAACGGAACTGAAGGCCCGTTGCGCCGACGAGTCATGAGTTGGTACGCTACAAGTAAGAGCATGTACCCTCTGACGCTACGGGTCAACGAGGCCGAAGCGTGCCCACCACCATGGATTCCGCTCACAGATGCTACATGCCCTCTATTTCAGGAGAACGAGAAGACCATCGAGTGCAGACCACACACCACCCCCCAAAAGACGAGCGCAAAAACATGGAAGGAAAAAGCAAAGTTTTTCTGAGCCGCTCGTCACGATGTGCAAGGTGTGTCTGGCATCTCGACGCTCTCTAGTTACAAATAGAGGTACATAGAGCATTGGTGAGTTTGCTAATGGAGAACCGAAGCAGAAGCACAGAGCTTGTGTTGTGGGACCTAACGAACCTGACTCGACCAAATGCTTCCGCCTTTTTTTCACGGCGGTGTTACCACCACGCATTACTTCACCGGTAGACCTTCCAGCGATTAAGAGAGGTCTATCGACTAGCACAAGGCGATGCAATCTCCTATCTCTCAGAACCTCGTTCGAAAGTCTGTAATGGTACGCGAACATCTCAACACTGTCAAGAGGAACTGTACCTCGCGACAGTAAAGTTAAGTGTGCGATGGCGGGTGCCCAAATGTGAGCTATTTGGGAGCTGAATCGTAAATAATTTCAATATTATGCCGAGACAGGTGAAGGTCTTCGCCCTCGGGCTCTCCGTGCACGTCATCCGAATGAGAACCGGGTTCCATTGAGTCTAGGATACCTAGCCATAAAAGATAGAATGCAAAATGTGATGTACAGTTTAGATGGATTCTGTAATTAAGAATGCAACGCAATTCTTGTGCCGCATCCTTCGATCCTGACGAAAAAATATGGTGTGACCAAAGTGTAGTTTTTTGGTCCTACTACGCATTACGCACTGCAGTGAATTCGCCAATCTATTGCCGTCAGTGCTCAACTCGTTAAATAGACCCTTTTCATGGAAGGAGCGGAAGATGACGCTACGTGTGGACGGAAGCTGGATTTCCAGCTATGCTATCTTTCGGAAAAGTGTAGGGACAAGATTTGCAGCAATCCAAAGCATTGGCATCCATTAATTTTTCGCCGCAAATGGCGCAAGACTTTTCTCGTGGTGAACTTCGCCCCTTTGTTAAAAGACTAGATAACAGAGAGTGTCTCTCGGTGAAGCGAGCGAATTTTTGAACATTTTTTAAATGAACTCCTGTAAAACAAACCTTTCAACCCATCCCTGCTCGAACTGTGGCACCTCATCGCTTATCCTGTGACCAACTGTGCGTACAATTTACCTATGCGGGACAGAATCTGCCATCTCATCCCAGCCAACTCAGGTCGAGTAGCCAGAGCAGCGGAAACTAAATTTAAGATAAAAGCAAAGAAAGGGAACGATCATAGGAATACGCAATGAGGTTGGGGCGGGCGCGTGCAACCGGATGTGGGCCTTGAGTCTAAGAATCGAGGAACCTTAGGATTCAGGACGCGGAAATGCGGCTGGCATTCCGAGGGTCTTTGAAATTTGTATCAAGCACCAGAGTATGCTGTTTTCCAGGGAGACGATCTCTCATTATCTCCTCTTCGGAGCCAATTGACTTTGTATCCTGGAATCGAAAGCAAAAACAATATGCTATGCTATACAATTGAGAATCCTAACCAGATTTTCGGTAGGCTATGGATGATAAGTGCTTGTTGAGAACGGTTGATATCAACAGGGCCGCGCTCGTCTCTCCGCAACCCAACCCAACGTCTTGTCCTTGCGCAGGCCTCGGTAGAGTTGAGAACGAGTCCCGCCGGAACTCAACGCGGGTAGCTGTATTACAGGAATGCATTTGAATTTTTCGTTAGGATTAGAAATATTAATACTTTGTCAATCACTGAAAATATTACTTGTAATATAGATACAACAGTTGAAGTTTGACTTCCCCACTCAACAAGGAATGGTCATTTGCGTCGGTCCGCCAGTTGTAATGAGGGGTTGTCCGATGCATGCGTCTCTCGACGCTGAGCTCAAATCTTGCTTTCCGGTTTTTGCCGAACGATTCTTTGAACGAACTTATGAGGAATTCTTCTCACTATGGCTATCTCACTTTGGCGCTCTCTACATACCCCTACCTGTCCAATCAACTATGCCGCACGAGTGACGAACGAGCTGCAGAGCATTCGCTTCAGAAAGAAGTCTGCTGCTAAGGATTAGCGCTCCTTCTTCGCTAGGGATGGAGGTGAGTGCTCGAAACTCATGTACCTGTGACAACAAACTTTTGCATTTTTCCAAGGCTGCTCATACGGAGCCCAGAAAGCGCTATATTGGTTATTTTGTTATCGTTCTGTTCGTTCTGTTTTTACGCGAGCCAAGTGGGATAGGGGATGTAGTAGAGGGCGCCACAGTGAGAAGAATCCCTCGTAACTTCGTTCAGAGAATCGTTCGGCAAAAACCGAAAACGGATTTGAGCTCAGCGTCGCAAGACGCGTGCATCGGACTACACCTCATTACAAATGGCCGGACCGACCAATTGACCATTCCTTGTCAGTGGCTTTGATATAAATGCAGGCCTAGTCCCTCGGAAGCCGGTGCCGTACTTCTTACATTTGCACTTGAAAGACGGTGGTGCATGAGCTTTGGCGTAAATGTGTACAAAGTCCGAGACTGAGGTGAGGTATTACTACGTTTGTTGTTGACAGTAGAGGTGTGAGTTCCAACGACGATACTGAAAAAATGAGCAGAAAAGGTCGAAAAGGACAGAAATTAAAAGTCCCTGGTCAGTAGATGAGAAGAGAAATAGAATTGGTTTGTGGGTAGGGTAGATGGTGTTGGACGGGGCCAAGCTCATCCTAGGGCCCTAGCACTTCAGACGCAAGATCATCCCGATGTAGAGGTGGACTGAATATGCGACATCAGCAAGAGCAGATAGTATGAGGAAAGAAGCGGAAATGGAATAGAAGCGATAACGGGTGACAGGGAAGAAGTTGCTTGTGGGTCAAACGAGGGTTGCCAGTCAAACGCCGGTGCGGGCGCGAAACCCCCTGTTGACGATCTGGCGGGACCTGGCGGGAAGAGCCCAGGAGGGGGTTCGGAGTTTTTTACTTTTCAGATATCTTGGACCTCGTGGCCCGTGCGCCCGACCCTCGCCTACCTCTCCGCATCTCTATTGCCTTGTTTTTTTTTGTCTCGGTGATACGATTTCGTTGTGTTCGCGTGTAATACGTTGTTTTTTTTAATAAAATTGTTTCTCGTAGTACTGACTAGTGTTGTGGAACGGGTCCACCGCCCGCCATACTTTGTTGAACCGGTTATACGGGGCAGTCAAACCCCACATGGGGGCCGAACCTAAAGTGTGAGCGGTACTAGTCAGTTGGTCAGTGGATAACTTTGACTCGTGAGACAGGGCGAGTCAAAGTTTGGTGTGGTGTGATCAATCGATTGACTCGTGGGACAGGGCGAGTCACGGCGAACACGTCACCACTAAAAGGTACAACCCCAGAGAAAACGGGCTCACGGAAAGATTAAATGGCACCATAGTAGCCATGCTTCGAAGGAGTACTCCGACTCCTATGGAATGGGATGTGAGGCTCCCGTTTGTCTCATGGCGTATAATATGACGCCACATCGATCAACAGGAGAAAGCCCATACATGGGATGAACCCGAAGTTCCCTTCGGCGATTGTGCCAAATGGCGGTGTAAGTTGGTACGCTATGGATAAGAACGTGGAGGACTATAAGGCGCAATTGCTTCAGGCGGTAGCTGAGTCCCACGAGCGAATTCAGGAGTATAATAGGCGTGTAAGGAATCAAATGAAGGTAGAGTATGACAGGAGGCATAAAGTAAATGTGGAAAAGCACGCGAAGGTAGGAGATCGGGTGTATCTGCTTGCTCCCAAAGAAAAGGCGGCGAATTCGCACCCAAAATTAACTCCAGAATGGACAGGGCCTTTTAGAGTGCTAGAAACTAGTGAAAATTCTGCTTTGATTAGTAGAATAGGTGAGAACGAAGACCCGATCAGAGTACAGTTTGACATGTTGAGAGTGGTTCCAAATTGTATATCTGACGAACCCATCGACACAAGAACAGCGAGAGGTAAACGAGGGAGAAAACCAGCAAAAGTTAAAGTATGTTGTACTAAAGTGCCGTGTTTCAGTGGCGCCACGATAATGAGCCCGTTGGAGAAGGGCCACTTGCTGTTTTTGTGCGGAAACGGATGTTTCGAAGGATCTACGTTGAAGGAAATCGGAAATACGAACTTCCCTGGAGCGGTAGCTAAGGAGCCAGTAACCACACTTTGGGAGGCTTGGTTAGCGACCAGTATATTCAGAAGGACGGACATCAGTACAGGAGAGAAGATAAAGATGCATCGCGAAGGAGTCGTCTGTTATGAGCCCGATGCACTCAAGGATGTCTTAAAAATGGCATGTATGAAAAATGTATTAAATGGACACATTTCGTCATGAATACGGAGAAGGATAGTCAAGCACGCGCCCATACATGGACACTATTTCGACAAGTCCTACGATGACGCGCTCAGAGCAGTCCGAGAGGAGCTAAAAGAGGAAGCATTAGGAGCCAGGCCGCAGAAGGGAAGGCCCTATCGGCTTCATTGCTGGCGAAGGAGCGATAGCGCTGGAAAAAAGATGGTCGAAGGGGAGAAATCTTGGTAATAATGGCCACTAAGTTCGAACGACTTCTGGAGATCCTAGAATGGACCGCATTCCGCACATGGGTACTCACATGGCCAATCGACTCGAAATTGGATGAAGAGAAACTTAAAAAAGCTGATGAAAATGGCCAAAGCCCAGTTCACGAGTGGTGGGAGAATCGTCCCTGTTTGGCCACCTGTAAACGAGAGAAATGTTCAATGCGCGGACGAGTCAGGGACTCTGGAAAGCTTTAGACGACACTGCTGAAAATCGATGAAGGAAACCAGATTTTCGTTACGGCGAGTACTAAAATTGTGGAAGGACGATTATTTATTGAAGCAGGGGCGCCTGAAGCGAGTGGACAGTTTTTCACCAATCATGTGGGCGCTGGAGTACCGAAGCAGGCCTATGAAGCTGCAAGGAAAAAAGCTGTGAGCGCCATGTTGCCAATCTTACCCGATGCTAGGAATCTGACATCGAGGACGATGTCAACGCCGGGGGAGGGCGTGTGGGTCAAACGAGGGTTGCCAGTCAAACGCCGGTGCGGGCGCGAAACCCCCTGTTGACGATCTGGCGGGACCTGGCGGGAAGAGCCCAGGAGGGGGTTCGGAGTTTTTACTTTTCAGATATCTTGGACCTCGTGGCCCGTGCGCCCGACCCTCGCCTACCTCCCTGCATCTCTATTGCCTTGTTTTTTTTTTTCTCGGTGATACGATTTCGTTGTGTTCGCGTGTAATACGTTGTTTTTTTAATAAAATTGTTTCTCGTAGTACTGACTAGTGTTGTGGAACGGGTCCACCGCCCGCCATACTTTGTTGAACCAGTTATACGGGGCAGTCAAACCCCACATACTAGCAGCAGAGAACTTGAGTAAAGTTATCATTTGATAAGTTTCTTTCAGCAAAGGAATATTCAAAAACTCAACGTTGGGCTAGATCTCAGAGATCAGACCTCCTTTAGAACAGATCTTATATCTTTTATGCGAAAACATACAAGTACGGTTAGCGTTCTTCTCACCTGTCCTTAATCATTGCGTCAAAATTTGTGGCGAATTGAGCATCACCGACCCGTGGTTGACCATATGTGTACATTGTGATCTTATCGCCTGGCCTTAGACCTTAAAAAATGAGATCATATCACAGGGTGGGAAACTTGGAATCGTATTGTGATCTTAAGGTAGCCAGCGGGAAGCTTTTGTCCTATTTGAGTGAATAACAATGAGAAAGGCTTTAGCCAGAAGCTCTTCAGTTCTTACACTTTCCTAGTCATGTACTAGCTAGCTACCCATCAGCTAGAAGGGTACTGGCGGTATTACCCATAAAAGGATCACTCAGCTTCTGTCAGCATATTCCTTCAACAACTTTTATACTAATGAAGCTTGTTAAAGCTTGGAGTACGGGTGGGCTAATCAAAGCAATCAATTTCATTAAGATATTGTAATGCTCACCCTGTTTAGCGGTACGAGCGGCAGCCAACGCAGCTAAGGCACCTCCAAGTGAGTGACCAGTGAAGACAACCTTGTATTCCTAAAAGAGTAGTGTGATGAGGTGGAGGTGAATGAAAGGATTCAATAATCAAAACGCAATGAAAAGTGTACGACGATTGGTTAGGATGGGTTGTTGACGATTATTTAGCAAGAATACTTAAAGGCATGCCACGCGAGTAGGCCAGTAATTCGCCAAGTGAGTAGGAAGCAGCCGTTCGCTAAGGGTGCTAAATGCGGCACCCACACGGTTAGGAAGTGGACGACAAATGCGCCAGTGCCTTGTCAACGCTTCCGCTTCCCGCTTATGGTTAGCCATAACTGTTATTCTTTACCCGAGACGAAGATCATGCCCTTCGTACACAGTGCTATTTCGTGTATTCACTTCTCTGCGCTCGTCTCTCTCGGCCGTACCACGGCCGACCTTACGGAGAATTCAAGCCTTACTTTCACTTGCTTTTTATTTTCCTTTTCATTTTCCACCTCTCCTCCCGTATTCACCTTCATTTTTGAGCTCTCCTACACACCAACGTATCTCAGGTATTGCTTTAAAAGAGTTATATGACTTTTTTCAGTCCTACTTCTGTTTTTCGAGGAATTCGCCATAGGGATATTATCACAGAGAGTTATGTGCAGAAGATCCTGCTCCAGTCGCGGTGAACCAGACAGCCTTTATTATCGGGAAGAATCAGCTTTCGAGCTTCAGAAGATTTGAGAGAATGACGCAAATATCTAGCATTATTTGGATAATATTTCATATTGAATAAATATTTTTGAGTTTAATATTTAGAAGAGTAACATACAGCATAGTCCGGATTCTTCAGTACTTTCTCGACTGGCGGCCAGAGTACGAGATGACCATTTAGGAAGTACCCATTCACCTGAATAGGTCACCATAGAAGAAAATTGAAAAAAAAATCTGAAGTCCTGAGTTCTCATGCGGCAGAGAACTCGTGCGAATATATAGAGTTACTAGTGGTATGAGAACGGATGAAAAACTCAAATTATTAGAGCATGAACAAGGCTCCCCTTCAGGGGAACAAAATTGCATATCGTTAAAGGGCCGTTAAGCTGGCATTATAGTTTACTTGGAGGGGCAAGTAACCATTAATCCGATCACATCGGCGCCGGAATATAATATAGACCAAAACGTATCTATTAAACCTGATATTCACTCTCTTTACAATACGTGACATTACTCACATGAACTGTAGAAGGTTTCAATCATTTTTGAACAACATACTTCAATTTTTAGACTTCGATTTCTAGACTATTCAATTCTTCTGAACGTACAACACGACTGATTTCTGTTAAACCAGTCAGCGCTACGCCACTAGATCTTTTTCGCGGCTGACGCAAGGGGCAATTTCGTGTGACGCGAATAACCCTCCTGCGCGGCCCGTTCGTCTTGGCTACGGACCTCGCCCGCTCACTATTCGCTGCTGAAGATAAAATATCCAGTTTGGCCAACTCTAACTTGCATTCGTCCACGTTCAATAATAGGAAATAACTGCCGAATGGGTAGCAATGAGTTTCTCCTCCCTTCTTTTTCTTCTTTCTTTGTTTTCTTAGCGACAGAATTCATAACTTAAATTTATGTGTGAAAGAGAGGAAGTTCTCAAAAAACATAAGAAAAACAGAATTAAGGTTGATCTACTAGGTTCTCTTCGAAGTGACAGTTTTCAAGGTAAGCTACCATAACCAAAGTAGT